TTTAAAAAAAAATTAATAATAATATCATTTGGATAAAAAAAAATTAAAATAAAACTTAATCCAGCTGTCTAGATTCACCTCCTAACCAGATGTTTTAAGATGGTTTTTCTTTGAAATATATTAAAATAATAGTTTTTATTTTTTAAAAAATCATTTTTGACATCAATCCAACAAAAATATATAAAAATATTAAAAATTACTAATTTAAACTAAAAAAATAGAAATATTTTTCAAATACAAAAAACAAACAAGTCTGTAATCCACCCCGACCTTACTTCATCACTTGTTATTAAAGAAATTGTCTTTGGTGTAGCAACATGCTATCAAAACATATTGCCGTGTTTTTTTTCCGCCGCCGTGGGCACCAACCCTCCGAGGACCGTCTGCCACCCACCTGCGCGTCTAATGATGTTGTGGTTGCTGGATCTTGCACTTGAGAAGTATAGATTACTGCGTAAGGGCCTGAGGCAGTAGCGTGGCGATGAGGCTACCTTTGATGTTACATGTAATCCTCGCCACACGTCTTGCCATTCACATGATTAGGGTGAGTCTTCCTGATTATTTCTTTCTCTCATCCGATTAATTTGATGATTTGGGTAAGACGAATTTTATTATCTGTTATTTTTTTTACCTCAAATATTTAAAAAATTGCAATTAAGTAAAGGGAATAGATCCAAGAAGAATTTTGACAGGTCAAAATAAAATAAAATCGAATGAACTTGCAAGTCCATTAATTCTTTGAATTTATAATTGAAAGATTTTAAGAAAATATAATTTTGGATTTTTTATCCTTAAAAAAAAAAAAAAAAAAAACATAATATATTAATTTTAGTCAATCTATTGAACCCATAATCCCGGTTATGGATTTGATCAAGTTGAATTCATTATTTTATTTTATTATATAATAAAAATATAAAAAATAATTTATTATTAACCTAGTATTTAATAATAAAATTAAAAAAAAACCTCACTTTAAACTATAAAATTAATAAATAAATAAAGAGTGCAACCATGCAAGCCAGCCTGCACAAAATAGTGGCCCACGTGCTCCTGTTCCAATAATTGGTTTTTTTGCTTTTTATTTGAATAAAAAAAAAAACACAGATAATAAGTTGATCATCGTCTATCGACCCGCGCACCATACCCTATAGAGGCAAGATAGAAAAATTTTATCTAATCAATTAAAAAAAATAATAATAAAAATAAATAACCCGGTTCAATGAAACCACCCCCATTTGTTTGAGTGCTCCCCCTGCTGCTGCCCTGCAACTTGATGTTTGAATTTGTTTGGTCAGTGGATCCACATCGTTTCTTGGTAGACTCTGTCGGAGGCTCTTTATTGAAAATTCAAAACACATGGACGAATCACAAGTCGACAGCACTCTCCACAAGTCGAAGAAAGGAGGAGGTTTCTTCCCCTTCTTTTCTGATAGAAGTGGAATAAAGAGTTGGCTTCTCGAGTTAAACTATTATCCGGCCAGCCCCACCACCGGTCCCTTTCAACCACCCTTTTCCATCTGATCACATCGTCTCGAAATGTCACCATTAATTCTTTGATATAAAGTTATCTACGTTTCGAATTGTTATTGAATATGCATCACACCCTCCCCCACCTGTATCGCTAGCTGTATGCATCATCACCACACTTTTATCTTCCTCTTCTTTCTTTCTTTTTAAAGTCTATTTATTTTTATATTTTTAAAATATTTAATTCTTTTTATTTTTTTTCAAATTAATATATTTTTGGTATATCTAAATTATTTTAATATGTTGATTTTAAAAATAATTTTTTTAAAATAAAAAATATTTTTTTAATATATTTTTAAATAAAAAATACTTAAAAAAACAATGATAAAGGTAATTACAAATAAGCTTTTTTGGACTCATTCAAAATCAGCACCTAAAATTAGCCGCAAAAACTGCTGTTTGTCATCATGCCTTGTTATAGGAACCCGCATGTTGTTCATTCATAGAATGTTTTTCCTATAAAAAGAACCCTTGTCCGAAAGAAATTATGATTTGGTGGATGGAGAAAATTCTATTAATTTCTATAAATATTCTAGTCACGATTTATTAAGCCCTTTGGAGGTTTCTATGAATTAACTATGATGAGGTTTACTAAGTTTGATTATTTTAATAATATAATTAAAAAATAACAACTACTAAAAAATTAACAAAGATAAACTAATGATAATATCATGAAAAGATATCCTTTCAATATTTGTTTTAATCTTGATTTGTTAGCACTTAATTATTTTACATTGATCAAGATTTATTTTATTTTGTAAAATCAAGTATCATTTTCTTCAATATTGCAAGGTCCTCCTGTCAGGCATTGGAAATAAACTATCAATTAAAATATTAAATAATGCTAGAAGTAGAAAGGAAAAAAAAAAACACATGAATTCCCCCTTGATCCTGCAAAAATCTCCCCGATTTTGACACAATAAAGAGACTAAACATTAATTTAATCTTTAAATTCAGTCCATAAAAGTTATAATTATGAAATTGATTTTTTTTCAAACCAAGAATTAAGTGAGCGACAGAACATCTTCTCTGTACTCTGAGATCCCAATACGCAAGCATGAAGAAAAAAGCAAGACTAATCATAAATTAAAACAATGTTAAAGGATCAACTAAGAAAAAAAAAAGACTAAGGCCCAAAATGTAAGAAATTATAGAAACTAAAGAAATATAAAACATTGTTCGAACGAACAATATTACTCCACACATGTTATGATAAAACATTAAGCACTTTTAGGTTTTTATTAATAAGTTGAAAATCCTATTTTAATTTTTTTTAGAGGCATGAGATAGGTTTAAAGGACCTTTTGCACTTTACAATCATTATATCTTTGATTCAAGAATTATTCTTTTCTCCTCGTTCATATATTCTTGAGTTAATTGCTTTTCCAGTCCTTCAAGTTTTACAATATTTTCTTAAGATTTTTTTTTATATTCGTCTCTTAAAATGTTATCACATTTCCCTCAATCTTTATCCTATAATAAAAAAAAATAATTTTAAAGAAGATTAGTGGTCATAATCATCAATTATTAAGCATATAATTTTATTTAAAAGAATAAAATACTGAGTTGATGAGGTGTGTTTGGTTCTCCTGTATTGACTACCAACCACCCTCCTTTTATTTAAAAGGATATGATTACGAGCTTCACCAGGGACTTATTTGGCAAATTATGAGATTACTTTCCATCAAAATTACTTGAAAAGGGGAAATCAAATCAATCAAATCTCAGAGGCTCGTGTCAATCTCTTATTGGATGGAATCGAATCCCTTAGTTGTCCCAAGCTTACTCTGCGTGCCATCCACCTTCCAATGTCTCGTCCTCTAATTTCTTCGATCCCAACCACCTGTTTGCTTTGTCATTACCTTGGATGATAAAATTGTAGTCCTTGAAATTATCTTGATTGGTCTTTTCGATCCTAAATTTGTCAACTCCTGTTATGAATGTCAATCATGGACCGTGCTTGTGATGATTATTTTAATTATAGTATTTTACGGAATAGCCTCAAATTTAACACAATGCTCAATCAAGTAAAGAAAAAGGAGATTGTTATATAAATATAAAAGATCAAAGAATACCGATGGTAAGCAATTATTTAAAAAAGAAATCCAGACTGAAAGTACACAGGAGGCAAAAAAGAAATATACACACTCATGAATCACTGGGTTTACTGATAGTATACTTGGTATTGGTATGGTAATGTGATAATTTTTGTAGTTGTAGTTTAAAAAAAATATTTTATAAAAAATATTTTTAGTTGAGATTGGTATAATATTTATATATATTTTGTTAAAATTATGATTGAAATTAAGATTAAAAAAAATAATTTAATATGTTTGGTTAATAATGCTTTTCAAATTGAGGTTATAAAATAATTATAAAAAATATATATTTATATTGATGATTTTTAATTTAAATGTTGTAAATTTAACTAATGCTATTACATCGTAAAATAAATAATACTTTATATAACATATTTTTTATTGTTTCATTAAATTATTTATAATTTTATCACGCATGAAATACATCCGATAAGGACTATATTTTTTTTGATTTCTTAAGTATGCAACAACATTAAGTTGAATATTATTATGAATAAAATTGAGATTACGATCAAATTCTGCAAATACTATATCATTAAACGGTTTCCGTCTAATTTATATAGTATTATTGAATAATGTTAAACACTGATTTTTTAAATAAAATATAATTAAAAATAAAAATATATTTTTTTAATTTTATTGGGTTGAATTATGTTCAATATATTTAATTTTGAACAAGATGGAATTAGGTAAAAACAATGAAAATAACTCTACTATTCACGAGTGATGCACCCTCCACTCCACAATTTAAAAGCAGCTAAATTAAAAGAAGCGTTGAGCTGCTTTTAACAATCCTGCATTTCAAACGTTATTAATGATGGGATCCATGCATAGTAATAAATGGTTTGCATGTTACTAAATATTAAGTTTTCGTGGTCTGCTGTAACAGCAAACGCAACCACGAAAACAAAAGAATTCAGGACCTAGATGAAAACATCATTTGACAGGAAAATGCATGCGACACGTAAGTGGAGTTCGTTGTAATAATAATAAAATAAAAGGACCTTTTTGCCAAAAAGTACATTTTAATGGTAAGGTTGATTTGTATTTGGTGATTATTTTTTAAAAAAATTTAATTGGAAATGTATTAATTTTTTTAAAAATATTAAAAAATAATGTTTTTAAAAAATATTCAAAAAATAATTTTTTAAAAAACTTGAATTTATGTGAAAATATTTTCCAACCACATAAACAAACGGCACTAGATATCGTTTATCATATTTTCTTATCATTTTCTTTTTATCCTCCCTTTTGTTATATAAAAAAGGTCATATACTTATCTCAAAGTACATTATATACACACATATAAAAAAAGTTAATATACTTATCTCAAAGGACATTATATATATATATATATATATATATATATATATATATAGAGAGAGAGAGAGAGAGAGAGAGAGAGAGAGATGTAGAGCAACGTTTAATATAAGGTTTGTTTTTTCCTTCTTGGAGGTAGACAAATATGGGGAGAGGGAAAGTGGAGCTAAAAAGAATAGAGAATTCAGCTAGTAGGCAAGTAACCTTCTCAAAGAGAAGAAATGGGCTTCTAAAGAAAGCTTTCGAGCTTTCAATTCTCTGCGAAGCTGAAGTTTCCCTCATTATTTTCTCTCCAACTGGAAAGTTTTACCAGTTTTCAAGTCATGAGTCAGTACTTCTTCCTCTCCTCCCATGTTTACCTTAGTTTTTTCTCTGTGTTTTGAATGTTTTACAAGTTATATAAGCAAATTAACAAGATCAAGTTTATTGCCACGACGGTCGCAGCATGGAGAGGAGCGTTGCTCGGTACCGGAGTGAAGTCGGTCTGCCTGGAACAAATGACCAACGCTCTAGATCCATGGAGGTAATTAATATTTCCACAAATTCTGTCAGTTTGTATAGAAATCCAAATTAAAGCATCATCTTTTTTATTTTCTTGTGCATAAAAAGTCTCTTCGATTTCGGTTAACTGTTGAAGCAAGACTGCTTTAAAATTATACATAATGTTGACGACCGGTCTATCGCATGACAGATATTCGAGAATAGAACCTCCTATACTGCTGTTGTTTAACAGTGTCGGTACCCTTTTCAAGGCCTGTTTTGTTTCTCTTATTGTTTTTGTTTTTTTAAATGTTTTTTTATTCTGAAAAGATATTAATTGATGTTTTTATATATAATTTTAATTTAATAATATTAAAAATGAAAATAATTATAAAAAAACTATTTAAATATATTTTTACTTAAAAAATACTTTTTAAAAACACGTGTTACCGAACTAAATATATCTCTTTCCATGTTAAATAAATAAACAAATTATCGAGTCATGAAAACTTATCTTATCCATCCAAATTAAAAATAAGAAGATAATGGGTAACCTGCATATCTTGTAAAGGATTTCCCAAGTTTAAGAGAAAAAAAAAGTGGAATTTCAAATTTACAAATAAATAAATAAATAAAAAGAGGAAAAAGAGAAAAGAAAGTAAAATTAATGGCAAAATCAAGAACGACTCGCTAGCCTTGAATCGGCTTTTATTAAAGCCTAGGTGTTTCTGGATTGCAGCCCATGGGTCTCCAAATTTATTTATTTTTAAATATTCTTTAATTTTGAATTAATCACGTTTATTTTTATACCTTTTCTATACAATAAAATATGTTATTATTATTAATCTTTTAACAACTATATTTTATGTGATTTTAGATGCATGACAATGTTTTTACTTTAAAACCTTATAATTGTTTAGGTTAAAATTATTATTATTAAGAAAATATAATTATTCATAATATAATGAAATATAAAAATATGTTTATTAAGTGGAGAAAATATATTTATTAAAATATTATTTAAAATAGATGTGAAAAATGTTTGAATTATAGGTAAAGTATTAGATATTTTTTTTGTATTTTGCTCCGCCTCGTCTCCTACCACTAAACAAAGATAAGATTAAAAATAAAAAAAACCTTAAAATTTTGTCTACCTCACCGAGTACAAATCAATCTTATTTCTAACATCTTGTCTCTTATTGTCTTTCTCCTGAACACTACCAAAATTAAAATTTTTATTATTATTATCATTATTATTTCATAAATTAATATTAATTTAATTATTATTATCGTTATTGTTAAACACATGTCCACTTCCTTGAAAAGATTCTGGGTTTGATTATTTTTTTTAAAGTTTATATTAATTTAAAAAATTATAACTGTAATTAATAATCTAAAAATTAAGTATTAAATTATTTCATGATTGCTTGCTATATTACTAATTTATTTACTTTGACTCCAATTTCATTGATTTGTTATCTAATTATTTGTTTATTGGTAACAATAGTTTATTTATTATTATTGTTTATTTGTTTATTGGTTCGTATAAAAGGGATCGACTAATATCTATTGTTGAGTTTGTTGGTAAATATTACTGCTGAATTGCTAAAGGATTTATCCACCAACAATATATTTGTCTTACTGATGAGTTCATTGACAGAATCACCAACGACATATTATACTAGTATTTATAAGAGTGTACTAAAACAATTAATAATTTTTTGTAATTTTTTGATTAAAAGGTTGATCATTTATTGATAGAAATTTCATCGGTCTTTAAACAAATTATTATTATTTTTTAAATGCAATTAAACAATTTCACAATGACATGAAACAACTTCAAATGACTAATTTAAAATGAAGAGCAAATTTTATATAATGTAAAAATTAATTATAAATTTCTATACAAATCAATTACAAGTTTCAATGGTAGATAGAAAGGGAGGGGGACGAAAATATTGTAAAGGTTCACAGAGGAAGGATAATGATCGGAAAAGTATGTCCTGATTTCCTTTAACTATTTTTTTTTGTTCTTTATACTTTGCCTTAATTTCAGCTCATAGAGCACTAACTCATTGTTCAACCAACTCCTCAACAGCTAATGATGGTTGACTCGAGTCAAATTATAAGTGTCTACAATCAAGGCACTAGAACCTAATATTATATCTCAAGCCGTAGTATTAACTTGATTCCTACTAGGTCTACTAGTTATTTCAACATCCAACCATAAATCTAGATTGTATTTTTAATGAGTTGAAAGGTCGGTTATTTCAACATCCAATCATAAATCTAGATTGTATTTTTAATGAGTCGAAAGGTCCTCTCCATTTCTGGCACACATGACTGTGTTATATTGTTCCTACAACAAAGAAAAACAAGTTAGATATATGTATAAAAAACCATTAGTCTAAACAATATAGAAAAATTTCAAAGTCTATTTACAGTAAACATCTAAGCTTGGCTATTGATGAACTATTGCACCCTTTGTCGTTTATCATTTTTTTATATTGTGTTTTCATATATAACTCTATCAGAGTAAGCTTATGCCCAAGCTATGTAGACTGAAAAATAAATTAATACTTAAACCTTATCACAAATAATAACTACTATTTGAAGAAAAAAACTTAAAAATAAAATAGGCTCTTATCATATGCTATGCACAGTTAGTGAAAAGAAATGACTCGTTAGTATGCTTACTAAGAAAATCATGAATCTCTTTATTTCTATTTGAGGACACACTCTGTGAATGTCATTTAAAAGTGTCTAATATGAAGAACTATAAATATCTCTCCTAATTACTCTTTGTGATGCGAGGAGGTTTATAATTCTTTCAAATATCAAAATCTTTTGACTCATCATATCTCATAACATATTTATGGGTATCATACCATAAATCATGTAACTTGATTAACAATTTCATTAAGCAAAAAGAAATTTATGAAAAAAAAAATACTATTATACATAAAACATACACGTCACATATTAAAATTTACATAATTATGCTGTGATTTTTCTGGACTTGCCTTACCACTTATAAGTTTATTGCATCCCACCAAAAAGTTACCTTGATCATTTATTTACACACGAACCTCACCTGAATAATCATGATTTATTTTTATTCCATCCATCATCATATTCCTATAATGATTATTATTATTATTGATAGCTTCATGTATGTTACTAGAAGTAAATATTGAGCCAACAATCTTTTTAACATGATCTTATAAGAAATATAGGGTTTTTCATATACAAACCAACTCCAATATTTCTTAACGAACCTTTTTTTTTAGATGATGTATTATTACAACATAATCTTATAAGAAATATATGGTTTTTCATATACAAACCTTTTTTTTAGATGATGTATTATTACAACATTTGATTGGAGAAATTTTTTTTACACTTCACACATGAATATCTAATTGGAGGAATTTATTTTTACACTTCGCTTTTAGATTTGAAAGTATAAAATTAATAAAACTCTCAACTTTATTATAATTTTCCCCATACTACTTTTAAGATGAATTTAAATACATCAATGAACGATTATTCATTACTTACGAAACCTATATAGATTAATGATGACAACATTTATTAATAATGAAGTAACCAATTCAAAATTAATTTTGGTAATTATAAAATAATTCACAATCTAATAATCAATTATTATTTTTGTACAAAAAAATATAATGATGCGTAAAAATTTCAACTAAACAAATCCAATTAATGGCAAGTAATCCATAGCCAAACTAATTATCTATTATATATTCAATTCAAACTTATTCAATCTATATTAATATCATTTAATTATTATCAATTCTATAAAAAAATCAATCCATCCAAAATCTCCAACTTAATAATAAAATTAACAAAATGTGATTGTTATCCATTAAATAACCTATATTTTTTTCTAGTAAAACACACCTAAGTTATAAAATCAAAATCAATTACATCAAATCAAAATCATAAACAAATTAAAATTTGCTCAAATCACAAATAAACCTTAAAATAGAAATCAAACTTTAATTCTTTATGAAAATATTGTAGAACACTAAAATATATAAGCAAACTACAATACAAATACTAAAAAACAATAATATATTAACTTAAAATATAAATAAGTAGATTTGCTTATTTATTGTAGAAAATATTTAGAAAAAATTATCCAAAACAATGATGTTAACACTGTAAAATTGGGTGGCTAAAATTTACAATGACATGACTTGGATTTGTGGGATTCTAACAAGCATTATGAGTTTATGACTGTTTCCTACTTTTCTTGGTGTTTGATGTCGGATGATGAATTGTTTGATTTATCAAAAAAAAGAAAAAAGAAAAAAAACCCCTAAAATGTACAAGCATCACTAGACTTTAAGTACAATTACGTGCTTATGATATCTCAATCTCTCAGTATCTACTAAACCAAAAATTGATACATTTCCCCCCTCGGAGTGAATTAAATAGATTTCATGATGGATCAACGGCAACATCTTTTATAGTTGCTCTCTGATTTTGCTAGCATCTCATGGATTTTCTACCTCGTTTAACAGTTTTGGAGATGTGAGATTGAAGAGTTAAGGAGAACTATAAATAAAACAGAAGCACAACTTAGGTATGTTCCATGCACCTCTTTATACCATCATTGTAAATTAATTTATAATGGTTAGCCGCCGCCGCCTCCTCCTCCTCCTCCTCCTCCTCCTCCTGATAACTGATGAGTGCTATGATCAAACCGTTGCTTTGTTAGGCACTTTACTGGGGAAGATATAGCAAAGCTGGGGTTGAAAGAGTTGAAGCAACTGGAGCGACAGTTAAAGACAGGAGTTGAACGTATCCGCTCTAAGAAGGTAAATCATTTTATATATTTACTTAAAAATAAAACAGCAAGAGACAAAAACAGGGTAATCATTTTATATATTTTTGTGAAAACCCAGTATATATATTTGAAAACAATTAATTATTTTTCGAAGACCATTTTTAAAGCCTTACGTTCATATACGATACATAAACCTTACACACACACACACACACACATATAATTCTTGCGTCGAAATGTTATTTTGACTCACATGTGCTTGTGATCCACAGAAACGAGCCATCTCAGAGCACATCAAATTGTTGAAGAGCGAGGTAAAATATATATTTCCCTACTGATATGGAGAAGCTCTCATATGCTCCTAGCTGCATTTCTTCAATCATCAGAGCTCATATTAACTGATTATTTCTTGATTTGTACGATCATCTTCGGATTTGAATAAAATATAATAAAATATATTATTGAATAAAAACCCAAACTGTCTTGTTGAAATGCAGCAAAGAGCCCTTCAAGAGGAGAATGCTCGTCTTCAGAAAAGAGTGAGATATTCAAAACTGCCACCTTAAAATTGTATTTTTTTTCTCAAAAAAATAAAATAAAAGCATATTGCTCTCCTGACTTAGCTAGCTTTGGTTAGTTAAATTAATTCGAGTTGGAGTTTGAAATTATTATTATTATTTGCCTATAATTAATTTTTGAGGTTAAGTTGCATGAGCTGCCCGATGACAATGTAAGCTCGAGGATTCCGGAACCAAATGCGTGTAATGCTTTTCATCAGCAAAGGTAATTAATCAATTTTACTAATTATTAATCCATGCAAATTAAAGTTTTTTTATTTTATTTTATTTTTTGGTCTCTCTTCGGTTCATCACACAAATTATGGTCTATTTTGTTTTTAATTAATGAGATTTTCTTTAAATTTTAAGCTACACAATGAAGAATAACCTCTTATCATTCCCGCTAAAATTGAGAAAACCGGATCATCGAATTAGAAGCAACAAGGTATAAATACATTTGCTCGATCAAACCATCGCACAAAGGTACTTCAGTTTAGGTTTCGGTCAATTCATAAAAGGGATTAATTATATGAAATTACATGATTTTTACAATTAAATGTCTGATATTTAATTTTATCCAAATAGGTGTTCAATCCTTTAATTTTCCATAATAAAGTGTTTAAGTGAATATATGTTAATCAAATATTGATTTATTCGTTAAGTAATTACATGGACGTTGACATCTAAGATAACAATTAAAAAACAATGCTGTTAATAATATGCCATGTAAGCAAGTGAATGAGAGGAACAATTGAAGATTTCATCTAAAAAAACCAAAAATTATAAAAGTATAAAAATGGATAAAAATTCTTCAATGATCATTAAGGTTTTTATAAATTCTTTTATTTTAAGAACTAATTTTTCATATATGTGAGGCAAATATTAAAAATGTAGACACAGATAAAACTTTCATTCTATCTTTGAACTAATAAAGAGTTATTTTTAATATTAATAGAGTTTGTCAAAAGGTGTAAATCATTTCTTTTTCTAAAGAAATCAAAGATAATATAATAAAATAAAATAACCAATAATCCCCCATAGGAAAATAACAGCGAAGGTTCAATTTATTAATTTGTTAGGTTTTGGTGTCATTTTTTTACTTCTGGATTTTAGTGATATGTGGTATGTATAGAAACTAAAATATAGGCAAGAACAAAAATTTTATGAATCTTTTTGTCTGAAGGAGTAAAAAATAATGTAAAACATAAGGAAGGATAAAACCAAGGATCCAATTTAATATAATTTGATAATCTTTTACGTTTATTATTTTTAGATTTTGAGTATTGGATTTTGTGGATCAATAGAGTTTTTTTTTTTTTTAGAGTTTTAATAGTCAATATAAAGTAGCATTTTTGTAGATTTTTAGATTTTGAGTTTTTTTTTTTTTTGAGTTTTAATAGTCAATATAAAGTAGCATTGAAGTATTAAATAGGTTATGGGTAATTAATTTAAGAAGATTATTTTATGTTATTTAAGGTTTTACGTGATGTATTGATATGCATATAATGAAAAATATGAAATTAACATATTTTTTAAATATATAATATAGTTGAATTTATTGGTATATATTTTACATTGTGATATAAATAAGAAATGTTATATTTTTATTTTGCGCATATAATTATGTGAGGGCAAGACAATATATTGGATATTTATCAACATATGTAATGATTTTAAAAACTCAAGGGTATTTTTATCGAATCAAATATGTTAATATAGAGAGAGCTCGTCCTTGTACATGCGTGTAGGATTATATATATATATATAT